AAAAGCCCTAAATATTACATAAAAGCAAACCTAAGCTCTGAAAGGGAGGGAGAAAGAACCTGCCCCCGCACCCCCACCCCAGCCCCAAATTCACTATTGTGAATTTCTTGTGTTGTCACTTTTGTTTTGCCTTACAGATCTCAAACAGGACACTGGAAACGCTAGCAATCTGAAAAATCTGGAAATGCCAATGGGCACAGAAAACAAAAAAGCCCAAGAAAAGTCTGCTTTTTTTCTATCAAAGGACCAGGAAAGAGCCAGTCAGGGAAGACAGAAAACTTCTGAACAGCGTCACTCTACAACAGAACTACAGTTCCATCTCCGTCTTGACTAGCAAAGGCTGAGCTTGACTTCGTGTTTGCCATACTGAGGTAGCACCCTTTCCCCAACTTGTGTCCACCTGAAGGTGTTATAGGCCAAGCAGAGAATGAGAACTTTCATTCCTGTCAGGTGGTGATGAGTCAATTGAGAACGTTTGGGGAGCCCCCCCCCCCCCCGGTGCAATAAGGTCTTCCTCTACTTCTTGCCAGGGTTGACAGATAAGGCTTGGTAGGGAGACCTTTTATGACTTTTTTTCTTAAATATTTATTTATTTATGCATACATAGCTGGGGTACAGGCCAGCGGTGCAGGGGCGGTAAGAGGATTCACAGAGACAGAGTGGGGAGCAGAACAGGCTGATTGACAAAGTACACTTCTGAGGGGAGCAGTGGGTGGGTCAGGAGATGTCTGCCAGGCCCTGTGGGTCACCTCCGGGTCACCTCCCGGGCGGGGACTGAATTCATGCTGAAGTGGCTTTAGCTTCTTAGTGTTGTGCTTTAACCCTCTGTGCCACCAGGGAGGGCCCTTTCTATGACTTTTTAATAGCCTCCCATTCAAAAGGTGTCAGTGGAGGCAAGTGAGGGAAGAAACATGTTGTTTTTCCCCTTCCTAGCAGGGTGGAATTGATACACCCCTTTGCTGTAATGAGATGCTCTGTCCCTCCCCAGTGCCAAGGAGGATTGAGCAGAGGATTTGGACTTCCAACTCCATTTGTGATACCTCCAGCCACCAGATTGATAGTAGAGGAGATCTTCTAAAACTCAAGGATTAAACAAAGTTTTTGACACATGTAATATGTAAAATGCCCAAATTTCAATTGAAAATCACTTGTCTTACCAAGAACCAGGGAGATCTCATATCAAGTGGGACATCAACAATTGTCAAGGCTGAGATGACAAAGATATCAAATTACCTGATAAGAATTGCTAAGCAGTCATCATAAGGATTCAGCAAACAGTTACAAATATTCTTGATAAAAACAAAAATACAAAGTCTCAGTGAAGAAACTGAGTCTCAAAAAGAACCAAATGAAAAATTAAAACTAGAAATGACAATAATCAAAAATCAAACAAACCAAACCAAACTCAATGGAAAGACTTATTAGCAAAATGAAGAGGATAAAGGAAAGAATCAGTGAATCTGAATAATAGATCCTCCCAATCTCAACAAGACAGAAAATAGCATGAGGAAAAATGTGAACAGAAACTTAAATGTGGAATGAAAAGAAATCTAGATTATAGTATCTAGAGAAATCCTCAGACTTTATAACTTCTGATCTAAAAGTGTACATCCATTCCAAATGGCAGCCTGGAAAGCTTGATAAGTATTGCTCTGTCTTCCTACCCGCCACCAACACCAAGAAGGACGCTGTGCTTTTGACCTTTTCCTGTCAAGCTACTTATCCTTGTCCTCATCAAATCAAAGACAGTTTCTGCTTTAAAAACCACATCCTTAGCAGGCCTGGCCATTCCTTCTTCCTCTCCCTCAGACTGTCTGTCTGGTCTTCCTAGATAAACAGTCAACAGTATTTGCTTGTGAGAAATGGGAGTCCAGCATATATATCTGAACTTAGAAGTTACAGGTATATTTAGCACTGTTTAGTCTCTTTCAGAATTGCACAGCTTAGTTTTACCATCTTTAAGCTGGCTTTGTTTTGATCTAAACCTTTGAAGTGATTTCAATTTTGCTTCCATTCCCATTCATAAGTAAACTATTTCTGCTAGTTCTTTGGGTCATTGTGAAGACTAGATCTTTTTCAGAATTCCTTGTTAATTTTAGTCTCCTGTTAAAACTTTGTCACTCAGGTCACCTAAATTCAATTCTGCAGCATCCTTTAGAATTACACCAGAAGTTTTCAATTTCAGCAGCATATTAGCAAGATCTGGGAAGCTTTTAAGCCATACCAATGCCTGGAGTCATCCAGACCAATTACATCATGATCTCTAGGAGTAAGATAATATTTTTTAAAGTTCACCAGGGGATTATGACTACTACATGCCACTGCATTTGCTCCAGGTGAGAACCACTAAACTTCAAGCACAAAACCCCTTTAGTCTGATCACATTAGACAAAATTAGCACCATTCTCATCCCATATTTTGGATCTTGGATATTTTCTATCTTTAGTTTTTGCAAGTCATTCCACTCATGTGAAGAGCACAGTTTATTCAGCCTGTTCAGATGATTCTTTTTTAGTCAATTTACAAATATGGTTTGTGTACATTTTACTTTTCCATATTAAAAAACCTGACATTAGTAAATAAAGCAGAGAAGTCTTTTCTGTAGACTGAGATGGTGAAGATGGAAGCATGTACAAATCTGGCTCTCGTGTCTAATATTGTATCTTACAAAATAAACAACAAAAGATCCCAAATAATCCAGAGATTAAAGTTTAAAATGGTCCAGTGTTGCATCAGCAACACCTCATTGATAAAAAAACAGGAGAGTAATGGAGCAGGCAGTATGAAGTAGGATGCTCTCGAAGAGCAAGATCCTGGCCTTTTTATTGATAGGAGAACAAAAAGAAAAAGGTAGATCAAACTGGAAATATGATTATGTTATTTAACACTTTAGGGAGGGTGAGTAAACTGATTTGGTAAATCATAATCTTGGTTCCAATCTCCTTAACAAGTCATTCCACTGATCAATCTCTGGGACTAAAGTACATCATTCAACCCACCCAACTCCCTAACCTCCCACCCCTATTCCTTGTCATACCTTCTGGTGTAATCCCATTTTCCCACGATGGATTAAATATCCTGTCCTTGTTTAATTTGAAAAGAGCCTTGTAAGGTCTGGTCAGCTACATTTGGCAGACCCACAGTCCAGAATTGGTGTACTTCCCAAGTAAATGGAAAAAATGTGTAAATGTTTGCTTTTGGTGGCTTTAATTCAGGCCTTGAAGAAGTACCATAGATAAAATGCCAAGGAACCCAAACTCAGACAAGAGACAGATGGGAAATACTTCCAGTTTTAAACATTAATTATTATGGTAATTGTTACCATAAGAATTATTGACTATTTTCAGAAGTAGACACCTCATCTGTATTTTCTAAGAGTTTTTTTTAACAATTGGAAATATAAGTTGAATGTTTGAAATAAATTGTGGATTTTTAAATATTTTTTAGACTTTTCCGTGGGATGATAAATTATTCCTCTTATTTTCCTTCACTTGACCATAGTTCACTTAACACAAATTTAAATGTCTTTGTGAGTGGTTTCTTTGGTTTATTCTTTTCCCACACAAATGCTAGATATATAATGAGAGCTATTTAGAACATTTAAATATCATTTTCTCTGAATAGTATTTATTATGGGGTAGCCACTGTTCTAAGCGTTTTGTATGGATTGAGTACTCATAATAACCATATACAATAGGTTGTTACTATTATTATTGTCATACAATGAGGGAAGAGAGACAGAAAGGTACTAAGCATGCAAAATCACACAACTGGTAAATCTTGACACCTAACTGGATTGGTTCCAGAATATCACTCTTGAACTCTATATTAAAAGGCATTTCAGAACTGTTTTTCCCCCACTATAAATTACAATCTTTTTTTTCTCCCTCTGTCCATTTTTGCCTAGGCGTTAGTACAATTTAAATTTTGTTTTATGTTTGTCTCCTTTTCTAGACTCTTTTTGTGAGAAGCAGACATTGCCTGACACATACAAAACACAGTAGTGTTCAACAAATAGTTGAGCAGATGCATAGTGTTTCGTCGTGGAGCAGTCACCATCTAGCGGAATTTTAGAGTATTGTCTTTCAAAAATGTTTATAAGGCAGGTTTTCACAGGATTGATACTCAAATGCCAGATTTGTATTACATATTTTAAACAAATTGAACTGGCTCAGTTAAGATTTTAGTGTTAATAGCACGGTCTCTTAACTGTAGATCTTTCGCCCTCTAGATTTGCTTGGTGAAACGAATCGTGTAATTAACAGTTAACGGGTAATTGGCGATTAACGGTAATAACGGGCAACCTATGTCACATCTCTGATTTTTCTTGCAAAAGGTAGAGCACAGATCCATTGATAAACTGCTGTCGTAATCACTCAGGTACATCCAGCATTCATACTATATAAAGGATCTAGTTCCCTAACACGTCCCCAATTCTCCATCACATATGTGAAGCTAAAACTTGTGCACAGAAGTAGCTTCCACCCCACGATTATACACTAGAAGAAACCAAATATGCTCCATCGCAAGTCCTAAATTTTACTTGTCTAATGTTTTGCGCACGTAATCTGTAATAAAAATATCACTATGTTACTTCTCCAATTTATTATGGGCCGCTCATCTCATGGCGATACAATAACCCTACGATTCAAACCAGAAATGGTGAAAAAGGAAACTTTTGGACATGTCTGATAACGACTGGAAATTATATATTTAGACTTTCCTAACGTAGGTCGTGCTCGATTTTCTGACACTAGCAAAACAACGGTGGCGTGAAACCGGAAGTCTTAGACAACAGCGAGAGCCGCTCTGTCCCCACGATTCTATGGTTCTGAGGTTACTCTTGCCACTGAGAACTCTATGGTTCCGGGGCGGGCTAGGAGGCTAGAGTTTGAAAGCAGTGGCGGGAATATGGCGGCTTTTGCTGTGGCGTTCGCTTTCTCCCGAACGGGAGGAAGCTGGGACTGGGCTTTGTCCTGAACGGCAGAACAGAGCTTGCTATGAATCTTCCGCGATGGAGTGGGAAACGGCGGCGCTCGACCTCAGGCTCCGACTCTTTCTCGGGCTGCGGCGGGGACAGCAGCGACAGCCACCTGCTCCCCTCGGGGTCGGTGCTGAGCCCGCCCCCGGGCCTGGGACGAAGCTTGCAGGCGCGCGGCCGCCGGCCGGCCACTGCTGCAGGTACTCCCCGGCACTCCCGGGGCTGCGGGCGAGGGGGCCGCCCAGCACGGCCTCGTCGGGAGGCGTCCTTGCTGCGCGGGAGCTTGCTTGTTTGCCCTGCTTAGTTTAGTGCCCCGGCCCGGTGCGACAGGACACTTTCCTCTTCATAGTAACATTCAAGTGGGTTCTTGGTCTTTCTACCTTTACAGAAACAACCTGCTGGTTGGCCAAATCTCACTCCTGGTAGTTCCCGGTACTCCTTACAGGTGCTTTACATAGTCTATGACACCACTTAGGAATCCCTAAACGCAGTGGAGAATTAACCCTGTTAGAGTCAAATTCAACTGCTAACTCTTTTCTTTTTTTCTTGAAAGGCGAAAACAAGCAGACAGTTCCTGACGACCAAACAGACAAGCTGCTATTGGCAAATTGGGGACTTCCCACAGCGGTTCTGGAGAAATATCACAGTTTTGGTGTAAAAAGTATGTTTGAATGGCAGGCAGAGTGCCTTTTGCTTGGACAAGTCCTGGAAGGGAAGAATTTGGTCTATTCAGGTATTCAAATTTGTGCACGTTTACTTTTTTCTATTTTACTAAAAAATATAGAATGTAAAGGTATTATGATTTTAAGGTGGATGAGAGTGCTTTTAAAAGTAGAGACGCATTTAAAAAAAAACATGAAAAGCAGTCTCGTGTGTATATCTTACACAAATTCCATTATATAGCTGGTGTAGTGGGAAGCAAGAAAAACAACCAATTAAACAGCTGGTCTACCATTTCTCTCAACAAGCAAATGACCCAGAGAGGATAAGATGAAGATGTAAATTTGATCTTCCCCATTGATCTCAGTTGCCTTTCATAGTGTGAACATTATATTTTAATATTATACACTTCTAATGTTTACACAATTTATACTGTTTATAAATTGCTCTGTTTGTGGTATGCTCAAAATCACATTTAATATACTTTATAGGAAATTCAGAAGCAATTTCTGAGCTTACTCTACTGATTTTAGAAACTAATCATTTGGAAAAATGCACTTAGTATCAGTTTTCTCTGATACTGTTGGCTATTCAGATATTTGATTAAGACTGCAAATAACAGACAATATATCAGCAGATAAAAGTTCAGGCTGTGGAGACAGACTGGCAGTCTTGAAATTGTACCATTTTCTATGGAGCCTTGCAAATTATTAGAATGTGGGAGAGTGATCAAAACAGTTTTTGACACATACAGTACTCAATAAATACTAAATAGTGACAGTGGCTGTGGTAGGATGACCTGACCATTCAGTTTTATGAACTAAAATGTTGGTGTCATTGACAATTCTGGTCACCAACTCACGTTATTGAATCAAGTCCAGTATCTGTTGTGAGGTATCTTCTGACTACTATTCTGTTCATAGTCAATTACTTAGCTTACTATCTTTTAAATTATGCAATAACCTTATAACCAGTTTACCTTTTTTCTCTGTTCAATATTTATAAATCGATATTTATAAAATACAAACATGATCTTGTTACTTCTTTTTCATACAATGCACTCTGCATTGCTTTCAGGATAAATTCTAAATTCCTTATATGATGGAATTTTTCATGTGGCAGTTTTTTTTTTTTTTTTAAGATTTATTTATTTATTCATACAGAACTGGGGTACAGGCCAGAGATGCAGAGGGTGCGAGGATTCACCAGAGACAGAGTGGGGAGCAGAACAGGCAGATCAAGGAAGTACACTGCTGAGGGGAGCAGTGGGCGGGTCAGGAGAGGTCTGCCATGCCATGTGGATCTCCTCCAGGGCAGGGGGGATCGAACTCATACGGAATTGGCTTAAGCTTCTCAGTGCAGTGCTTTAACCTGCTGCGCCACCAGGGAGGGCCTCATGTGGCAGTTTTATCTCTTCTTTCACTCCCCAGCTTGTTTTATATTTCATGCCTACTAAATTGCTGTCACGCAAACAAACAAACAAACCAGACTTCTCTTCCAGGCCTTTGTACATACTCTTTCTTCTGATTGGCATTTTTTTTTTCCTGTCTCACAAGTTTTGTTTCCCTTCCATACCAGCAACTCACCTTTTCTTTCTCAACTTGAATTATAACTGCATTTTTTAAATCTTGTTTTCAAAGATTTATTTATTTATGCATACAGAACTGGGGTAGAGGCCAGAGGTACAAGGCTGATGAGAGGATTCACCAGAGACAAAGTGGGGAGCAGAACAGGCAGATCAACGAAGTACACTGCTGAGGGGAGCAGTGGACTAGACAGGAAAGATGTGCCACACCACGTAGGTCACCTCTGGGGTGGGGGATTGAATTCACGTTCAAGCAGCTGCTACGGGCTTGCAGTGCTGTGCTCCAACCCACTGCATCACCAGGGAGGGCCCCATAACTACATTTAATATAGGAAGTCTTTCACCTCCTCAAAGCAGTGCTTTAAACTGTACAGTGTTTAAAGGAAAGGGTCTTAGGTAAAGATTAGATATTCAGTGATGATATTCATTATCTGTTGCTATTGATAATTTGTTTAATAATTTTCTCTTTTATCATGAGAAAAGTTACTTAGAAAACTGGTTGCAAGTCAGGCAAATAAAATCTTCAAATGCTATTTGGGACCTTATTGATAGGTTAATCTTAGGCTCTGTAGTTACTAGAAATATGGTTTAAAACGTGTTATTATGCAGTTTGTCAAATATTGCTTCTTTTTGTGATTGTTTTGTGGAATAATATGTTTTAGCTCCTACAAGTGCTGGGAAGACTCTCGTTGCTGAATTACTTATTTTGAAGAGGGTTCTGGAAACAAGGAAGAAAGCTTTGTTTATTCTGCCCTTTGTCTCTGTGGCTAAAGAGAAGAAATACTATCTCCAGGTAATGTTCTTGTACTGAGTTCAATATTGTAGTTATTGGAAACTACATTTGAAATAAATTTATAGAAATAAGTGAAAAATATTTTTTGTCGCATCCCAGTATAACTTTAAAAGTTGACCATTTATTTATTTATTTAAAGATTATTTATGCATACAGAACTGGGGTGCAGGCCAGAGGTACAGGGGCTGTGAGAGGATTTAAAAGAATACTATTATTATTTAAAAGAATACTATAATGTACAATAAGAATATTTTCATGAACTAGTCATTTGTTTCTTAAAAGTATTACATCAGTTAAAAAAGAGTCAGTTTCTTACTTATAGATTAGTGCTAAGGTATAGTCTCCAGCTTTAATTTCTACAAATAGTTCTTAGAACTGCTTATTGAATGGAATTATTGAAATAGCACACTTAATTTTTTTTGACTATGTCTTAACAGAAAATCTCTGTACTGAGTTTTGTCAATTTTAACTTCATCTTTTTATTATATGATTCTAAAAAGAACCTTGGTTTTTGGCCAGGAGTAGCTAAGATTAACGTGATAGGTCTCTGTATAGTCTGTGTTCTGGGGTAGCCTCAATCTACAATGTAAGAATTTAAAATAATTTAACCTATGTTGTTCTTGTGTACTCAATTCAGAGTCTGTTTCAGGAAGTAGGACTAAAGGTAGATGGTTATATGGGCAGCAGCTCTCCAGCAGTACACTTCTCTTCCTTGGATATTGCTGTCTGCACAATTGAGAGAGCCAACGGTCTGATCAATCGCCTCATAGAGGAAAAGAAGATGGATCTACTAGGTAAGAAAATCAGCAAATGAACATGTAACTTTCTATTGCAATTTTTTGATGGAATGGAGTGGCACTATTGTGATTTCTGGAAATTCAAAATTTTTTTGTTATCATTCTCAAGTAAGAATAAGCATCTTATTCTTTAAACATTAGATACCTGGGGGAGAGGGGACAGTTTTGTATACTGCTGATATTCCTGACTGTACTTCCTGGTATTTTTTACTTTAGAAAATAAGGAGGCTATCCTTGGACCCCAAAGTCACTTCTCATCACTCCTTTTATCTAAACTTGAAGAAAATACACTAGACCTGGATCTGCCATTTCTGCAATTAATTTGTAGTGTCATTATCATATTCTGGGATGGTCATATCTGGTCATATCCAGCCTGGATCCAGAAGCTGCTGTTTAGCATAGTAATAGTAGGGAGGTACAGGAAGATATATATATTGTATGAGCATCACTTATGATATCTGAAATACCTTAAAAGAGAATTGCCCATTATTTGGAGTCTTGATTTTTTTGTTTTATGGTTATAAATTTGCATTGGACCTTTCTAGTGGCCTACAGGTTAAGTCTCATTGCTGCCACTCCAATGGCTAAGTCTCATTGCTGCCACTCCAATGGCCTGAGTTTGATCTGTGGCTAAGGAGCTGACCCACATGGCACAGCAGACCTTTCCTGTTTTGCCCACTGCTCCCCTCAGCAGTGTATTTCATTAGAGCTGCTTGTTTTGCTCCCCAATCTGTCTCTGATGAATTCTCTTACTCCCCACTTCTGGCCTACACCCCAGTTCTTCTACACAAAAATAAATAAATCTTAAAAAGAAAATAAAGAAATTTGCATTACCTGTGATATTTTGTAAAAATGGCTATTTATTGTTTAAGATATAAGATACTTAGTATTTAAAAATGCTCTTGTGAAACTCTGTAAAAGCTATTATTTGGAAAATTTCTAGGAATGGTGGTTGTGGATGAATTACATATGTTGGGAGACTCTCATCGAGGGTATCTGCTAGAACTTTTACTGACGAAGATTTGCTATATTACTCAGAAATCAGCGTCTTGGTGAGTCCCTGAAATAACTGAATTCTGTATTTCAGTGTTGAGAAAAAGTGCACTAAGTATGAGTAAAAATTAAAGGAGAGTAGCAATTATTTAGAATAAATTCATGTACAGCAGTTCATTTTTGTTGCAAAGAACAAATATTTTAGAAACATTCTTGAATTTCTGACTGCTCACTACTTTTAAGATAGAAATTTTACTCTAAAATTTTAAAATTTTCATTTACCAATTATACACATCTCATTTAAGTAGTGAAAGTTAATTTTGAAAAATAGTATTTATCTCACAGAACAGTTATTTTCAATTCATAGTTTTTAAACTTTATTTACATTGGTGTATCTAAATGCATCTACTTGAGTTTTGAACTTTAAACGTTATACTTACTATAGAAGAAGTTCATAGTGAACTCCTTTTTATGTTCTTTACCTAATTTTGGCATACGCTCTACCTTTTTATCCTCTTTCCATTCACCAAATAATAGTTATAATTTTGCTTAGATTAGTATTTACTGTTATGACATACCATTTGTTAGCTGAGCCATGGAGCATGATGACTTGTACTTTCTAAATTACTCTGTCAGCACGATTAATAAAGGTTGCTTTTATTTGTTAGTTGGGTTCTTTGTAGTTATCGCTGAATTATGCCTTGTCTTTGCCCCACTCGTGTTAATTTCTACCTAATTTATTTCAACACAATTGCAATTCTAACAAATTCATCTTATTGAAGTTTCTTCTAAAACCAGAGTTACACAACAGTTATCTTCAAATCTCTCTTTTTTGTTATCACTCCTGGTGACTATTACTTGAATCAGAGCCCTGTTTTTAGGAGTCCATGTCTCTCTCTTTATTTATTACCTCATTTGGAGGGAGATATCTTCCAAGAAGGTTTCTTTTACTGCAGTATGGGCATGATTTCATAGATAACCTGCATGTCTGAAAATACCTTGTAATTATTTTATAGGTTATCCAGGTATAAAAGCTAAGATTTAAAATTTTTTTCCTTGAGACTTTTGAAGACATTACTTCATTAATTATTTTTGAGAAACCCAGTATCATGTTACTGCTTTATCTTTTGTATAAAATTATTTATTCTCTCTGGGTGATTTTTTTTAGGAACACCATTTCTTTCTCACTATGAAATTTCTTGCTGACATCTTGGTTTTACTTTGTTAGTATTCATTGTGCTGGATAAACAGTTTAGGGTTATTTCAACATATTTTTCCCTGTGTGTGAGAAAACATCGAAATAATTCATATAGAAATATGGACGATATGACGAATCAGTAGAAATATGGAAGATATAACAAGTACAATTTGCAGTTGGACCTAAGGGATGTATGTAGAACAAATACCAAATGACAACATAGCATATATTCTTTTCAGTTACCCATGAAACATTTACAAAAAGTATCATATACTGAGCAACATATTTTAAAGAATTAACTCATTTAGAATGTATTCTCTGCAATAGTGGAAGTAAGCTAGAAATTAGCATTTGAAAAAACATAACTAGGAAGTTACCACTTGTGGAAATTAAATACCTTTTGCCCCATTTTGGGGTCAAAAAAGCAATTACAATAGAAATTGGAAGACAGTTTGAGTTGGAAATACAATACAAATATGTCCTATCAAAACATGTAAAATGAGATTAAATTTGTTTTGAAAGGAAAATTGATATGAGAGACTGAAAAATTAATGAATTATTCATCTCAAGAACTGAGAAAAAGAATAGTTATATAATGCTGCAGAAAGTGAAGGAAAAAACTGTAAAGACAAGGCAACTTTTAATGAAATGAAAGTAATTATCCAGAGCATTAAAAAAGTTCTATAACCAATCCAAAAACCCCACAACCCTATGTTTCAGTGGGCAGGGGACCTGAACAAATGTTTAGAAGAGGATATGCAAACCCATGATATGATGCTTAATCTCATTAGTAATCAAGGAAACATAAATTACCTCTCTGTAATTGTATAGCATTCTTTATTTTCATTTGTTTTTCATAGCTGCACAGATTTAGCCAATCCCCTGTCTAATGCCATACAGATCATTGGCATGAGTGCTACTCTTCCTAATTTGGAACTCGTGGCTTCCTGGTTGAATGCTGAACTCTACCATACTGACTTTCGTCCTGTACCACTGTTGGAATCAGTAAAAATTGGAAATTCTATATATGATTCTTCACTGAAGCTTTTGAGGGAATTTCAACCTATGCTACAAGTGAAGGTAAGTTATTATTTTTATGCTATAATCACTGTTTTATTGTAATTTTCTAACCAATTAACAATTTTTGAGTTACATAAATTAGGGATGGCAAAAGTAATTGAATATGCATTACATAGCCAGTAAAAAGAAATTAAATTAAGCTAGTGGGTTTGATATTAAATAATTGGTAGCTGTGCTTTCAGTTACATAGAAATAATTAATTTTGTAGAGTTTTCTTTATAACTGGGAAAAGGTATACTTATGACTTAGTGTACACTAAATACTAAAGTGCAAAATCAGCCTTTTGTTTAGTGGTAGGTTTAGTGTAGTGTGGAAAGAGTATCATTTTTGGAGTCAGAGAGAACTAACTGATATTTGGTGATGATACTTGATGACTGTGATATTAGGATGTATCCTAAACCCTTCTGAATATTGTATCTTCTATAAAGCTGAAAATAAAAATTATCTTTAATATTATTGTGATGTTACTTTCTCAGACCATCCTTGGCCACCTTATCTAAATGATATCACCCTCCTTAATACTCCTCCTTAATACTTCTCAAAATGGAATATACTTTGAGTTAAGTGTACTTGCCTTGTTTTAGGCAAGTACATCTCTTCTTACTGGAGTAGAAACACTGTGAATGCAAATCTTTTTTTTTTTTTTTTTACTGATTTGTTCTCTACCCCCAGAACCTCCACTGCTTATTAACTAGGACAACATCTGGCACGTAGTAAATATTAGTTTAATGTGTAAATAGATGGGTGAATTGATTTACACATATAGCCTCAGTTAAGCATCAGCACTGTAAAGCTATCCAACAGCCCTGCAGCACAGGTTCATTGCTGGCCAGTGAGGTGACCCACATGGCGCAGCAGACCTCTCCTATCTTGCCCACTGCTCCCCTCAGCAGTGGATTTCAGTATATCTGCCTGTTCTGCTTTCCACTCTGCCTCTGGTGAATCCTCTCACCACCCTGGCCTGTACCCCAGCTCTTGTATTCATAAATAAATAAATCTTTTTAAAAGCAATAATCCATTTACAGATAGCTGGTTTTGAGAACTCACTGGGCCAATACAGTTATTCATATATGTTCTTTGTTCTCCTGGTGTTTCTTCTGTCCCCCAGTTACCTTTCATTGACATAATGTTTGCATCCTTTGTATGTCAGTTAAAACATTTTCTCAGGGAAATCTTTCTTTCAAATTTCTCTGTCAAATAAGAGGCCTCAAAACACCAGAAAATTGTTTTACACGTTATGGTTGTATTTTTACATTTATTTGTTTAGTGCTTAAATGTTAACCCAGTGAGACCTTGGTTTTCATTTGTTGACCATTGTATCCCCTTTACTGAAGGGTTGAAGATCAATAAAAGGAGAATGAATAGAAAATATTTCCATCTCATTTTGTATAAGGTTTTTTACTTTCTCGCTTTACTTTTTTCTTTGTTTTGTTACTGACTTTGTAACAAATTTTTTTACACTTTTCTACTAGGCTTCATAAAACCTTCCCCATGAAGCGAAATGAATGACTTTAAATTAATGTGAAAATGCTTTGAAAGTTCCACTGGAGTGACTATTTTTCTTTGTATTTTAGGGAGATGAGGACCATGTTGTTAGTTTATGTTATGAGACCATTCGTGATAACCATTCAGTATTACTTTTCTGTCCATCAAAGAAATGGTGTGAGAAACTAGCAGAGATCATTGCCCGTGAGTTTTACAATTTACACCATCAAGCAGAGGGTAAGTTATGGATGGAAATAGGGGTTGTTTCTATACTTAGTACATTTGCTTGAAAGTAAGGTTAATAAATGTATTAAGGGCCCTCCCTGGTGGCGCAGCGGGTTAAAGCACAACACTGAGAATCTAAAGCCGCTTCCGCATGAGTTCGATTCCTGCCTGCCCTGGAGGTGACCACATGGCGCGGCAGACCTCTCCTGACCCGCCCGCTGCTCCCCTCAGCAGTGTACTTCGTCGATCTGCCTGTTCTGCTCCCCACTCTGTCTCTGGGGAAGCCTCTCACCACCCCTTAGTCTTTGGCCTGTCCCCCAGTTCTGTATGCACAAATAAATAAATCTTTAAAAAAAAAAAAGTATTAAGGCTCGTCTTCACATTGTTAAAACACAGTACTTATGCAAGTTTATCTAAGGTTCTTCATCTGGAATCCATGGGCTTTGAGTGGTGAGTATTTGAAGCCCCTAAATTGCATGTAAAACTTCACACATACACATTTTTCTGGTGAAAACAGCCTTTTCTTTACAAGCTCTATAAAAAGAAGCACATACTTACATCTATACATAGATACAAATACATTTTTTTTCCTTTCAGCTGTTAATTCCTTTTTTAATGTATTTGTATATGTTTATTTGCATTATTATTCATTTTATAACAACAATGTTTACTGTCCTCTCCCCCTCCCATCATCACTATAGTCCCCCACATTCCTCCCTCCTTCTGATCCCACTATGTTCCCCTTCCCTGTAGGATCTCTCTGGTTTATAATTATCTGTTTGTGATTGTATTTTTTTGTTGTGTTTTGTATTGTAATGAAAATACACTTTTCCCCCCCTATCTTATTTGGTTCTCTTAAATTCCTCCTATAAGTGAAACCATTTCACATTTTTCTTTTTCCTTCTGACTTATTTCACTGGACATAATCCCTTCCAGCTCCATCCATGTTACTGCAAATGGCATGAATTTATCTTTTTTTTTGACTACTGAATGGTATTCCATGTTATACATATACCACATCTTCTTGCTCCAGTCATCTAGGTTGTTTCCAGGATTTACCTATTGTAAGTAGTGCAGTGATAAGCATAGGGGTGCATGTATCTCTTTGAGTTAATGTTTTTGTGTCCTTTTGGTAGATTCCTAGGAGTGGAATTGCTTGGTCATATAGTAGCACTATTTTTAGTAGTCTGAGGGAGCTACATACAGCTTTCCATAGTGGTTGCACCAGTTTGCATTCCCACCAGCAATGTAGGAGAGTTCCTTTTTCATTGCATCCTCGCCAGCATTTGATATGTGCCATTCTCACTGGTGTGAAGTGGTATCTCATTGTGTTTTGATTTGTATTTCCCTGACTATGAGTGATGTTGAACATTTTTTCATATGCCTGTTAGCCATCTGCAATTCCTCTTTGGAGAAGTGTCTTTTAAGTTCTGCCCATTTTTTGACTAGGTTGTTTATTTTGTTTTTATGGATTCTAGTGAGCTCTTTGTGTATCTTTGTGATCAGTCACTTGTCTGTTGTATGGAGTGCAAAGATTTTTTTCCCAGTCAGTAAGGTGTCTCATTGTCTTTGTTAATGTCTCTTTTGCTGTACAGCAGCTTTTCAGTTTGATGTAATCCCATGTGTTTATCTTTTCCTTCATTTTCTTTAACGATGAGTCTTTAGGCCCTCTCTGGTGGCGCAGCGGGTTAAAGCACTGCACTGGGAAGCTTAAGCCACTTCCGCATGAGTTCGATTCCCGCCTGCCCCGGAGGAGACCACATGGCGTGGCAGACCTCTCCTGACCCGCCC